TTAATTTAAGCCTTATATAAAAGTTATAAAAATCGCAGTTATTAGTTATTAATTTACCTATTATAGGTTATTTATAAGCTTAAACCCTCTTAGGTATTATAAGAAGGTATTATAAGAAGCTAATCTTAAATAATAGGTTAAATATAGCGTAATTTAAGTGGTTTAATTATTTATAACCTTTAATATTACTAAAAAGCCTTTCTTAGCTTAAAAAGGCGGTGAAAATTTAACCCTCTCATATATAAAAGTGGAAAAGCCTAAAAAAATCACTGTGAGACGGTATAAAGTAATATTCCCACTTTAAATTAGTGGAGCATGTACTAACTAGGGTCGAAAAGTTGACCTCAATTATTTGACCCCAATTCCGGGAATCACACCCAAAGCCCCCGTTCCACGTGACGTTGTCAATCGCGTTGCAGGTGGGCGGGGTTCCCCAACCACCTTACAACAGACTCACAAGTTCACAACTGGGGTGGATGCGGAACCATCGCCCCGGCGAACGATATTTCAGCCGGTGTTTTAGAGAACAAGCCTAGCAATGTATGGAGAAGTGTACTCCGTACGTGGAACGGTTGTTTGCCCTGACCAGAGCTTTAAAAGTAGTATATTTTTGTATTTTTTACTATAATGTATTATATTATAAGATGAAAATACCTATAAATGTATTATTAGCTTATGTAACATTTAATATTTAAATAAATGCTTATATAAATATATTATATATTAAAATAAAGCTTAAAAAATATCTATTATAAGCCTTATTATTAGCCTTATATTTATAAGTAAAAAAAGTAGAGGTTTTTTTTTCACTAATACTACATTTATAGGTATTTTAGTCTTGCAATATAATATATCAAAATATAATACATGAAAATACAATACAATACATAAAATAATACAAAATACACTTGTATTTACTATATTCGCAAGAGCTCTGCCTGCGGGACACGAGAGGCGCCCAGAGGCATAAAACAAGCACGTGTGGGGGGCTTACAGAGACTGTAGAAAATAACATGATCACGTGAATTAGATTAATCATCATCGAGGCCATTATTGCTCTTTACTATTAACTATAACTTCGCTGCGTTACATTGCACACGTGGCTGTGCTCGGAACTCTGGTGTCGGCGGCCGCCCTCATGGTGGCCGACGTGGGCACCATGCTGCCTTCATTGTGAATGTGGTGTGTCACACTGGTGTTGCTGGGCTAATCTTGTGCACAATTTGATGGCTGTTTGATATAGGCACAGCATCCTTTGCCCTTATGTCCCCACAAAGGTCGAATTTTAACTCTAGTCCCGAGACAGACCACGTTGTTAACGAATTGATCAGACCACGTTGTTAACGAATTGGTCTCTAGTCAGTCCTTCTCCTCCTCATCTGTCATAAATCCCGCCGCACCGCCACGCTTATCTTATAACCCCAACGGCAGGCTAGCGAGCTCTAAATCTAATCTACCTTTGTCTAGAGTTGCTTCAAAGTGCTCAAGCTCAAAGATGACTAATTTATATCCCATCTTGCGTTTTGGTACGCTGGTAGTCAATGAGCTGGTTCAGCAATCAAAGTTACTAGTCCAGTGTTCTTCATGTCGTCGTGTCGCCGAATGAGATGTTGGCTAGCGGGAACGATGTGTTTGGAGCTAATTCTGCTCGGATTGTGGCAGGTCCCTTATCCTGTCTTTGTATACTTGCTCCGCTCTCCTCCAAACGCCCTCGTGTTCCCGGCGTGCCAAGGACAATAAGCTTGGTAACAGCAAAGCAGAGTATTCGTTGCTGGACTCCCGAGGTAATAACGTTGGAAGGTGGTCGATGGCAATAATTCTGAGTTCGGGGCCATCTAGAGGTTTAGAAGAGGGAATAGTAGGTTTGTCGAAAGAGCTCCAGCCAGAGTACACAGGGATAGGATTATTTTCGCTATTAGGGTCACAACTTATGTCGCAAATGACCCGTAGCCGTCTTGCTTGTGTAGAAAGAGATTCGAAGGTGACAAAAGGAGGGGTGGGGGTAGGTCCGAGATAGACACAATTGATGAATATATCAACCGCAGCAATCTCCGCAAACGGGCCACCTCGAGAAGTCTCAGCCATGTCCCACTGGAGGATTGCATCTTGACCAAGCCCAGCCGCTAGGCAAAAGTCAACAGCCCCTTTGCCACATCGTCCAAGTGCCCCGATAACCATGATGCGGGGAGATTGACCGCCATTGATACGGATTGCGGGTTCGATCGCAGATTTGATATGTTGAACCAGAACCGAAACATTATCGAAAACCGGTACTGGACCTTGAGTGACTCCTGGATTTAGGACTTGATGGGCCCAGGACAATAGAGCTATAGCAGCGCCAGACTACAACATTGGTCAGTTGTTGCCTTTTAACAGCAGGTGTCTCAAGAATGTCTTTAGACTCTTGGTCTCGTCCAGATGAAAATACGCAGTTGCTTACATATCCCGCCCAATAGCCAAAAGCCGCCACCCGACGTCCATTCTGATCGGTCAGAAACTCAAGATCATATAAGGTACCACCACCTCGCGCAAAACGTGAGAGCGAGCGCGCCCAGCCAAGTTGTTTCTTGAAATTATGTTGGAAATGAATATATGTATGTGGTAGAGGGATATCATCATCGGGCAGCTCCTTAAGACCTAGGATGATGTCTTGTCGTGGCGCATTCAGCCATGACCCAGCAGGTACCATTTCTGCACCAATGCCTTCAAACTCATCGTCATTATATATACGTTCGCGAGATCGTTCGACGCGGATAACATAGCCAGCTTGGATGAGAGCCTTGGCTGTTTCGGGCGACACTAGATTGATTGTCAGAGATACGCGCGACAAATGTCAATAGTACGTAGTGGTCACGTACTCGGCGAACGACGCTCGAACGGCTTGGTTTCGGCTCTGAGGTGAATGACTGTAGACATTATGGGCGTTTGAGGTTGCTATAATCCTGTCCGATCGGCTGCAGGAGTAACAAGGTGTCTCCATATGCGGTAGTGTAGGGTGGATAACGGGGGAAAAGGGAGCGGAATAGGCTCCTGGGAAGTGTGTAATAGGGCAACATCCCTAAGCGAACACGTGACTCACTCACATCTCCATGCTGGCCCGCCATCGCGCGCGAGAACCTGGCAATTTTTAGTTTTCCAATCCACCAGACGATTTCGATTTTCATGACAGCCCGCGCGGCGCTCAATGCTACTGCTAGATGCCACTCTTCAAGGAGGATAGATGAGGCGAATTCGCCAAGCTGCTAAGCTTCACCCCAATTGGAGGAAGTAAGGATTGGCAGAACTCCCACGGGTCGGTGTTGCCCTCCCAGGTCCTATACCGTTGTCTAGACGAAAAATGGGACCATTGACGGTTACGGTCGCATCCCTTTGAATGTGCGAAAGTCCTTTTTCTGTAACCGACCAGGATTTAGCCTAATTAAAAACCCCAGTTAAAAGGTACATACATCTACTAGGAAATCATGCAATAATATAAGTACTTATAATCTTTAAAGCTACAGGAAAATAAGTAATAGTTGTTTTTATTGCTTAAAAAGTACCTTCAAGTATTACGAAAGAAGTGGGTCGAATACGAGAGTTAACCTTCGCACGTTTAAAGGGACTAATACAGCGGATAATTAAACACGTATTATTTGTTTTTTAGCTGGTATTATTTCTTAATTTAATAAAAGAAAACATAAAAAAGAACTTGGGAAGATATATTTAAGTTTTTTACTTTATTAAGTCATTATTTTAAGGTAGTAAATAATTTAATAAAGTTTCTCCTTAAATAAAAAGTGTGAAAGTATTTATTATTAGTATAAAATACTATTTATAGTGTAATATAAACAAACAAATAATATAAGTTATTAATATAATAGCTTTAAATAATATATCTCTTAAAAACCTTAAGAGACGCACTTTTAACCGTAAACCGCACACACACACACGTTTTAAGGCGGGCAAAGGCTATGAAATTAACAGACGCAAGCCACAGTAAAATTATATGTGTGGGGCTTCTGGCCTGATTTGGACGAGCGAATAGTTAATGGCGGCTTAAAAACCGAATGCTACCCCAACATAGCACTGGTACGGCAAAGGAAAGCTATCACGGACGACACTCGCAAGCAGATTCGAAATGCCGCCCACCTTCACCCAGATTGGACGCTTGCACAGCTAGAGGAATGGTCAGCTAGCCTAGACGGTGGGCCGTGTTCGGCAAGCAATAATTTACCCAAGTCGCTTGAGGCGAGATTCGATCATCTCGATGGCTTTGGCAAAATCCAACTGCGTCCAGGCCGTAGGGGCGCGGTTAGCGAAAACGAGGAGCAACAGATTCAGAATATGATTGCTAGAAACCCCTCCTGGACAGATATGGAATTGGCCGATTGGACCTCTAATAACTGGCAACATGGAGTGAAGCCTACCACCATCAAGAGATATGAAACAAGAATCTCAGACGTGGAAGTCCCGCGAAGAAGCGACAGCAGGTGGAGGATCGTGATGCTCAACGGAAGAAACTTCAACGCTTCGCTTCCTTGAATCCGCACTTGTCGAAGTACGAACTGGCGAAGTGGACCTGAAATAATTGGACGCAGGGAGTCGAGCCAGTTACTGCCCTCCATTATATGCGCCCCGAGTACAACTATCTTGATGGGCTTGGCCACATCGTTGCTGGTCAGCGACCTCAGCATGATGGAGCATTAGAGGACAACGAGCAAGGTGTCGAGCTTAAGCAGAAGTCTTCCAGTCGCCACAACTACACACTCGTTCAGGTTTAGGCTGCCTTGAACGAATTGCTCTCTTTCCCCGCGCGACCAGTCATGTAAGTGGCCACTACACATAACATCAATCATCAAGTGCTTGGCAGGAGATTACGCGAGTATCTTATTGGACAATTAGGGGGAATGCTAGTAAGTCCATCAGAGTCCATGTTAATAATCGTGCTAAAACTAAAAATATTCGTTGGCACGGAGTTTAGCTTAACAGCCGAAATGTGGCGCTATTTACATGACTCTTAGAGACCGTTAACAGTCCTTTCTCAAAGGGTCAAAAGACAACCAGGTCTATTATTAGCAAGTTATTGAAGAACCCAATCATAGGGATCATTGCAGCTTCACTCTTGATTTACACATCTTAGCGAGACTAGGATTGCAGTCACACGGTTTGCACCCCATACATGTCCTTAAAGGACTCATGAGAACGAAAGTAGTCATAATCATCTAGCATAATACCTTACGTACATGCGAAGGAAACACTTCTGAGTTATAAAATCAATAACCGTGCCTGAAATCGCAGATGAGCCGCCACCCTTCTTCCCAATGAATCCGGTTTGTTCAAGTAATAATTGTAATAACCTAATGGGACAAGGCATAATTCGTGGTTTACCCCAGGACGGGCAGTCCTGGATGTGCCATTCTTGCTTCTGGTTAACAAATAACAGACTCGTGGATCCCCTCCCAGTATTCGAGTCCACTTACGTTATTTGTAATAGTTGTGACTCTCGTCTTGATATCGTGGACTCAATAATACCCGCTAAAAATATTGGTACAAATAAAATCAGGCATGTTAATCTAGCCCAGCAAATAACCATCTGGTGCAATCATTTGAAAACATGTACGGATCGCGAACATGGAATGCTACGGCCAATGGTAACGTATCCATGTTTCATCTGTAAACAAAGACTCATCCATTGGATAAGAATATTATTAGCAGCACATATCCCACGCTGTATCTTTCCTGGAGGGATAATACATCACGGCAGGTTACGCCAACATGCGCAATACATTTTGCGGAAATGTGCTGAATTGAACACAGGTCAAAGGATGGAAACCGGTGACAATTGCCACACCAGGCAGGCCTAGCCGTTGACAAGGGTGAGCACTGAGGCCTGGTCTCGCAAGTGCCATTGAGATTATGTGCAGACACGTGAGATCCGAAGACTGGCATGCTCGACAACATGGATGCCAGGTCGTGGGATGTTGCTCACAGTGATAGGTAATTATGCTGCATCAGCTGACGTGCTTTGCACCAAATGCAACCAAGAGGCACCAATGCTGAAAACTAATCCAGGCCCAAGGAGACAATACTCCATGGGTGACCAAACCTTCGCTTTCCGTCAGAGACTTTGCCAATCGTGCAATGATCAAGTCGATAGTAGGCTAAGATCTGTATCCCTATTCATCCCCTTGCACACTGGATTAAATCCTTTTCTTCTGCAACCCGAGGTCTTTAGCTTGACGCAGGATAATAACCTTGGAACCGTTTGAAGCCTTCAGAGACAATGGAAAATGTGTATGCTGCTTTCCTGACTGTTCAAAAGAACTGAGCCACTCTATGGCCTTTTGCGCACATATTACAATGGACCACCATTGTCAAGACCTACTTGCGCCTGAAGCGAATACTGATTTGAAAGACTTGAGCTCTGCTTATCTTGAGACAAAAGCAAGAGAATCTGGCTGTTTTACAATGGAGGATGCGGATGAAGTTGCCGTATTAAGCGGTAGTGACATCTACGATACTGATGATTCCGAACACGAAGATGATGGCCAGCTCAACAGTCTGACAATGGAATAGAGTCCAGCGGAGGAGCCGCTGATATATACTGGACACCAACCGTCTGGAAGCGAGGTACAAGACGCATTCGAGAGTGAATACCCTTAGTCTGCGATATTAGATCCAACTAGGGTTGAACTTGTGATAAACTTCTCCGAGTAACTCGAGACTCATGGAAACCCTATTGAGGCCCTCGTAGAAGATATTTATAATGAGAGAGATTTTTCTTAGTCTTACGCTACAATGAACTAGAGAACACTGCGTAGGTTGATCTTTAGTTCTCTTAAGCGTTTGCTAATTGACAGCTAGTACGATTCTCCTATGCCTTGGTCGACAGAACCGCAGGTGGCCGGCGCTGTATTGGCACCAATAACATTATTGGGCGCTCTCACATTATAGCGAGGACACGGCCGTATTCGAGAAGATACTTCGCACTATGATTTCTTCTTAGCATGGTAAGCGCGGAAAACCCAATATTCCTGTCCGATTTCACCTTTTGCGACTAGAGCAAAGATGTCTGAAATGCATATTTCACTACAGACCCTGATATCAAGCTTGACCGTTCGGCACGGTCTGATTTCTGTGAGTGGACAGAGAACTCTGAAGACGGAATTCAAATACAGACCTGCGGAAGCCCTAGATTCTATATAACGTTAAAATTTTGCGCTGTTTACTTGCGTATAGCTGCGTTGTTTCACACGCAGCATCAGACTTCGAGAACACCTCTGTTGTCCATTAGCACGCCGCATCCAAGTGTTAAGGACATTGTTTTTTATTTCAAAACGAGTGCCTCTCTTGTGGTCCCGTCCAGGTGAGAGCCGTACTCCAAGCTTTTAAAGACCCTGCCAAGGCCGGCCAGCAATTGGTTTTCGGCGACACGGGGTTTGATCTTGACGTCGTGCACCAGCGGGAGGCCGATTCAATTGGATTGCTTATCCACTCTTCTGGGGTGCGTCTTTGTAATTTAATCAAGACTACAAGGAGCCGTTTGGCGCGCATAGGTAGACTTGTGTCATGTAAACGCATAGATCCGCAAGCTTTCCTCGATTCAGCAAGAGGACTCATCGGGCCAACGGATCTGTTTCTGCAATTCAGCCTATATAACCTGGATCTCAAATGTATCAGAAATGCCTTGGCCAAGGCCGACATACAACAGGACTACATGGACAATGTGCTGCCGTCAGTGGACAATTGCGACCCTTTCCAATGCTGCATAAAAGACTCTTTGTGGCCGTTGGTTACCTTGGCGAATTGGAAGCTTGAGACTGTTTTTGCATTTGCATTTCCACAGCATTAACTTGTTGGATTGCATCACGATGCGCTGGTGATAGCATAAAGCTGTAGCTTGCCTTTCATGTAGTTGATTAGCTCTACAAACCCTC